CCATAGTGTGGAAAAGGAAAGTGACCCAGGCCTTTTGAGCATCTCCTTCATGGCCAGCTGCTAAAGTGGAAGGATTTAGCATTCTCTGCTGCACTCAATAGCAACCTTCTCTTCAGGAACAGCAGAACTGAGTAGGGCTCACTTTCAGGGAGAAAGAAAGACAGGCAGCTTTGACTTTCTGGACCATGTTCTTCTTGCAGATCCAAGAAGACCCTAGTCTGTGTGGAGACAAACCCTCCATCTCGGCTGTGACCATGGAACTGAGCAAAGAAACGCTGGATACCATGTTAGATGGTCTGGGCCGAATCCGGGACCAGCTTTCCGCTGTAGCCAACAAATAGGCCAACCAGCTCCTGACCTGGGACGGACAGTGCAGCGCTCAGCACATGGGCTGACGGGGCAGATGGCGGGATGGAGGGGCTGCTGCTCTTCGGAAGGCACAGTGGAGGGAAGGAAGCAGCCGAGCCCATGCCTTTCTTTCTCTTGTTCAGTTTGTGTCTCTTCCTGGTGATGAGCAGGAGCCTCCACCTCTGAGAAGGCCCCGTGTGGAGCTGAGTTACTGCCATGGCTGTGTGAGGGAACATGTTCTTTCTATCAGCTGCCTGTGTGTGCTGCTGTGGGAAACTTGGGCCCAAACTGTGGAGCTTGCCTAATGAGTTCCCCTCCAGCTTTAGCTCAGAGGAGTTCATTTCCAGCCCTGGGACACATGGAGGGAATCGGGTGATGCCAGCAGCGCCTGCTCGCCCGTCAGAGAAGCCAGCAGACATACTAGAGTGCATGCAGCACCACAGCGAGATCCCTCAGCGCCTTCCCTGAGCTGCAGCCCTGCTGGGCCACAGCTCCAGCTCAGAAAACTGAAACCTGCTATTTGCCACTGCTCCTGGGCGAGAAAGTGGAAAGAATTGGAAATAAATAGCAGTTTGATGATTCTGGTCATGATTCTTTTTACTTGAGTTGATGTCTTCAGCCCTTGCTATCTCTCATCTGGATAAATGACCTTAACTTCTTAATTCCAAGCTAAGCTCACAACTGCGTGGTGGGAGCTAATGCACTGTTAATGAACCCCACCACTCTCCTGCTGTTGTCTATCATGAAAAATAAAGCAAAACAGGAAAGAAACGGGGCTAACAGTCAGGAGAGGCACTCCTCGGAGTTCAGCCATGTGAGAACAGCTCTCTCGTGTCTGGAAACCTTTTCTCCTTTAACAATGTCCACAGTAGCACATGCAGCCTTGTTGGGGTGTGTGTGTGTGTGTGTGTGTGTGTGTGTGTGTGTGTGTGTGTGTGTGTGCATGCATGTTGTGTGTGTTGTGTGTGTGTGTGTTTTGGGGCAGGTGTTCCAGGGAGGAGGTAGCACCGCTGGTGAAGAATATAGGTTTGGCAGTCAGGCGACAGGCTGGGAAGACAGCCCTGCTCCTTGATGGTGATGTGCTTGACCTCTAAGGATCAATTCCTCCCCACCCCTGCTTCCCTTTTTTAATTAAGTAGACACATAATTGTATCTTCCTTATAAGAGTGTGTAGATTAAATAGTCTAGCATACCTGAAAGCACTTAGCCCTGGGACAGCTAATCGGCCCAAGAACGTTAGCTCTGACTATTAATAGAGAGCAGTGGGAAGCTCTGGGCGCCGTTGCATTGTCTAACCAACGGGGTTGGTGTGAGGATGAATGCTGTTATCCTCCCTTTATGGATGAGACAGCCAGCTCACGGAGGTTCAGTCACCTGCTGGCAAATGGCCTCATTAGGATGTGGGGCCAGATTTCTCTAGCTTTCTCCCTGAGACACAGGACTCTGCAAGGGACATGAAGCTCTTTAACTGGCTTGGTTTGGGAAATCCGAATCTGAAGATAAGAAATCTAACCCCTGGCCACCCAGTGAGATCCTGGGAAGTCAAGACAACCCTCTGAGCTGGTCATGCTGAGCAACCTGATCGCAAAGAATATTTTTACGAATTCTTTGAGAATTCCGTACGTCTTGACCATATTCACCACCACCCCTTTCCCACTAACTCCTTCCAGACCCGCCCCCACCTCTCCATCCCCTCCCAACTTGTGTCCTCTTTTTTGCTTGGTTTTGTTTTAGAGATAACCGGTTAAGTCCAGTCTGGGCTGTCTACACACTCGTGGGTTCCAGCCATCTCCTGGTGGATGATTGACTTACAGGGGCCACACCCTTAGAATGGACTCTTCCTCTCCCAGAAGCCCTAGATTGTCGGTATCTCCGGCTAGGAGTGGGAGATTGTGCTCCCCTCCCCCTCTGTCCTGGCATGCTGACTGGCTTGATCTTGTGCAGGTCTTACCCCGGCAACCACAGCTGCTGTGTGTTCTTCGGTACAGGGTTCTGTCATATCCAGAAATCACCTCGAGTCTGCTCCTCTCTGACCTCAGGCCCTTACGCTCTTTCTGTCCACTCTTCTGCAACTGCCCCTGAGCCTTGAGGGGAAGTAGGACACAGATGTCCTGTTTGTGGCTGAGAACTCCACAAGCGCATTCTGCCCTCGGGCCACTTGTGAATTTCTGTGCTCACTACTGTCTGCCGCACAAAGGAACTCCTCTGACGAGGTCAGAGAGTCCTGCTAGGCTGTGGGTGTGGAGATACAAGGTAGGGGGCAGTGGCCTGTCCTTAAGACGGCCACACCCATGGAGAGCCTGCGGACCCTGTCTGCAGAAAAGGACGGTTTTATGTTTTGCATGCCATGGCCAGTCATGGACCTCAGACCCCAGCCCACTACCTAAGGTTGACAGCTGCTGCTCTCGTGGAGGAGTCAGCCTTGATAGGAATTCACCCCATTTTCCCTCCAGCTCCTGTGATCTGCGGAGACCTCACATCCCATCTTCTCAGTCTCCCATTAACCATCGTCATTTGTAAAGAACTTACACAAAGAGTGCTGTCTATGTGTCTGGGAAGTTGGATACAATGACACTTATGGTGTGGGCTCACACGAGCTTACCTGGGAAAGTCAGCCAATGTTTGGTGCCCTTGGATAATCTACTTTTCTACGGGACTTGGGTTTTTTGTTGTTGTTTGTTTGTTTTTAGCAAGGATAGACTATTTACAGGTACCATATTTCTGGTCGGGTCAACAGGATTTCAGAAGAACCTCTCACTTCCCCATTGATCTGGAAGGAGGTTCTTCACTGGGTGATGTATGGTTTCCTGGTCCCTCTCTGTATGAGGAGCAGCTCTGTGTAAGTAAGCACCTTTCCCTAGGCTGCAGGAAGATTTGATGTGCAGACTCTGTCCGTCAAAGGACAACAGTCAATCTCGGGGGCGGGGGGGTGACTGTGCTCCTGGCTGCCCAGCATACTCCACCTACACAGCACAGAGGTGGGCAGCTGTCTCAGTCCTGATCAATGTGTCTGTCGCTGAGATTGTGCTGTGGACGTACCTCACTCCGGAAAGCCAATCTGCCTTTCCCTGCCAGGATCAGCCCAGAAGGCCACCCCGGCCTCTGGGCTCTGGCAGTGAGTCAGCAGTGCTGAGACCTGCTTTCCTGGCACTCAGAGCCCGTCTGCTCCAGCTTACCCAGACCCCAGAGGATGAGAAGGGAGATCAGTGTTGAGCCAACCCCATTCCTCCTAGTGTGCCCATCCATGCTGGTGGATGAGGCTATGTTACAGCGCATCTGGAGGCGAGATATTCCTCGCAAGTTATCCACCTGATTTTATGAGTGCTGATTCACACTCTGGGTGACAGTTGAATCAGCCTTGAACTTACTACGCATTAGGCTGATGGGCCAGGGATCTGTTTCTTCTTCCCTGTGCTGGGATCTTAAGCATGTGCCACCATACCCAGCTTTTTCACATGGGAGGCAAACTCCGGTCCTTGTGCTTGAACGAGGACTCTACTGTCTGAGCCATCTCCCTAACGCAGCTGATTCAGTCGGGGAGAAAACTTGTGGTTCTCCACAGATGCCCTGAGTCTGCCTTGAATGTGCTGACTTCCAGCTCCTCCCAGCTCTCCCTGCCTCACCGCCTCTGTGGACCCTACTGTCCTCCTTCCCCTCCCTCTTTTGGGTAGTATTCAGTCTGAAGACAAATTGGCATCAGAGTCAGTCACCCACTGGGTCTCTGCACCCACACGGGCACCCTGTCCCGGCATCCAAAGTCAAACTGTCCAGCCCAGTGTTCATAAATTTCGAGTCCGATATGGTTTGAAAGCTGAGATGTTAGTTACCACAGTGAGAAACTTTTATTAGTCATCATTCTTTTGAAGAGTTTTCAAGCCATTAGACACAAGAACTATTCTGAGCTTGTATCCGCTGACTTCCAAATACTGATAGCTCCTGAATTTTCTTAACTGCACACTGTTGATCTTTGTACAGCTTCCTAGCCTGTTCGGTGCTCGCATTTCCATAGCTTAGTTGCCCTTGTTACAGTTTTGAAAAGGAAATCCAGTTTACTAACAGTTGTCCCTGGTTGGTGCTAGAGGACCCTAATCTCCAAGGAGAGATTTTGCTGTCCCTGAATACCCGGGAAAGGCCCCAGGGGACTTTCAGAACTCACCTGTAAGGGGAGATGAGGGTACTGTTTAGGCAGCATGGGTTTACGGTACACCTCATGGGCCTGCTGGCTGAAGAATGAACCTTTCGTGACCATTGGTGTCAATGTTGCACACAATGAAGGATGCCACCACCCCACAGAGTGACACATGAATGCAGGCATGGCTCCAGTCCTCGGAGGACCTGGTGGGAATTGGGAGGAACTCGCTGGGTGTGCGTCCCAAGGGCTTAGCCTCTGGCTAGGATTTCAGAGGCTGCTAAAGAGCTCCCTAAGCTTCATGGAGTGAGGTTCACTGTGTTAGGTGTTGATTTGGCTGTAACAAAAGCCCACTTTCCCTGAGTCAAAACATTTAGGCATGTATAATGTAAAAGTCCAAACCAGTAGAAGGCCTGTTAATAGGATGGTTCTGTGTGGGGGACCAGCCCCCACCATTGTTTACCCCAGGGACTAGTAAGGAATAAGAGACTTAATTAGAAATAGAGGGGAGAGAAACACAGGATAGACTCGAGAGGGCCTGGATCCTTATCCACCGGCCCAGAACTTTATTCCAAAGGTCTATTTATAACAATGCCAAGGGGTGGAGCAAAAGACCTCCCCCTTGCTAGTTACAGTCAAGTGCAGACCCTTCCAAACACCTGGTACCCAGGCCCGTGGTCCAATCATCCTCTTGTGCAGTCCTGCTGGGTATAGTCACTAGGAAACCTAGTGGGCTCCAACAGTTCTGAGTTCATGGACGCAGGTTCTTTTTGTTGTCTGCTTTATCAGTCAGTCACCAAGTGTCGCCCTCACTGCCATGGACAAAGTCCGCTCACCACTACGGTCCGAGGCTGCACCCCTAGGAAGAAGAAGAGAGTGCACCGGAAGTTGCCACATTCTTTCCACTGTCTCCGTTGCTCAGGCTCACACAGCCTGTCCTCAGCTGCAGGGAAGGTGGGAAGAGGACAGCAGAGACATCTGACGGGCGATGTCATAAGCACCCACTCGGGGACTCCAGCACAATGTAGCCTCAAGGATGGGGAACGAGAAGAAAACAAAGCGCCATGGGGTTTGGAGATGGAGATGTGTATGCTTCTTGGTAAAGGAGGCTGTGTCTCATTAGCCTAGTCCTCAGTACCTACCACAGTGCCCAACACACAACAGATTGACCAATCATCACCCAACTATAATTCACAAATTCATACGGGATCTGAGCGGTATCACTAACCTGTGGGGTCACTTTTATAGAGGTCATGGGTGAATTTGAATAGCAGTGTGACGGAAGTGACATTCATTCATATTGTCTCTAAATAAGTCTATGTTGCCTAGGCCCTAATTCATCAACTTTAGCCTTTCTTTATGCTTCCAAACTTTCATTGACTTCAAGTCCGTGGGAGGGAGTGGGGATACCTATGCACATTCTTCCACCCACCATAATTTATGGGTAGAAAGAAAAAGGATGGGAATCCTGAGTGAAGATAAAAACCCCACGGCCATAGTGACAGTGGAGGGTAGGTGTCCACTTCTAGAGGTTGGGGACCAGCATTTATAAAGAGCCAGTGGAAAGAGGTGCTGGGTTCTCTCCATCAACTCGGTGGAAAAATAAATGAGGGATTTACTGGGTGGGTCTTAAGTCGAGGTGAAGCCCAGATAGCCAGACCTTTGTCCCAGCTGAGTCCTGTCTGGAATGCCTTCATTTGATCCCTGTTCCTCTCATAGACTCAAGAGCAGCACCCAGCAAGGCCCTAGGAAGTCGGACCCCCAGCCTGTCTCCTCTGCGTGATCTTTGTGGACACACTGTGTGTTAATGGTCTGCCTACTAGTCTCCATCCCTAGACCACTCATCCCACAACACACACTTGAGCACTCAGATGATTGGCAGTTCCTATCGGTACTAAGTTTCCAGTTACCAAATAAACTGATAACCTGTCTCTGGGATTAATTTCATAAAAGATGCCACTGGTCAAAAGGTCATACCCTCTTTGGTGACTCAAAAGCCTAAAGCCTAAAATCTAACTGGCGAGGAAATCGCTGCTTGCTTCTCAGCTAGGCGCAGCTGGAACTTGCCTGATAATTCCAGCAGGTGGCGCACTTGTCCTCTCGCGCTCATCCTGGCCTAGTAAGGAAAACAAAAGACCAGAGTGGAGAAGGTGAGGCAGGAACAGACCCCTCCCAGAACCCCAGCTGGGGAGAGGCTACCTGTAAAAGAAGTCCTCAGATCAAGGCCTGTGACTTCCAGTTATCCCCCCAGGGCAACCAAGTTGTTAGAAGGGGAAGAGGGTAGGCAGGGCAGACTCCCAGGGAGCCCTTAAGGACATCCCCCTGTATCTGGTTTCCTGAGGTAGGTAGTGCCTACTGCCTCCTTGCTGCTTCTGTCACAGGCTAGCAGATCCTGTCTGTTCGGACTCATCAGCTGCAGCTTCTCCAAACAAGGTTTGTTAGTGGTGACCACAGGTTCAGGGTTCAGCCAACGGAGGTTCCTGTTCCTTTGGTAGACAGTGGAGACAGGATGGATGCAAGTTCGGGGTGGCTCGGACTAAGTCTCAACTTCTTCACCAATGTAAGAGAGAGATCAAGCTTAACTCTTCCTGACAACCCAGCCTGGAGCGGATTAATTATGTATGAAGGTATCTGAGTGGAGGAAGATGCCCATCAATGTTGGTTAAACTTCTATGTGCCAGCAGCCTCTTCCAGGTAAGCCCCTTCCTGTGTAGGCAGAAAGCTCTTCAGCTCTGATGTGACCAGGAGGTCTGATGTGCTGCGGTGTGGGTGGTGAGGAGCCCCAGGGAACTCGCATCTGGATTTCCTTGCCTTTGGGCTCAGCAGCTTCCTCCTCCCCTCCTCCCTGCCGTAGGCATTGTCTGAATAGAGTCAAAAGGCATTCCCCTGCCCCACATTCTTAATGGCTCCTTAATGCCCGCAGAATGAAGGCTAAACTCAGAACTGATACTCAGTGTCCTTCCTAACCTGATTTCCACTTACATTTTAAGCTCTTGGAACAAAACTAAAGAAATGGCTTAAATCTGAATTAACAGTGTAAAGTCCAGGAGCGGGAGGGGGTGGAGGTTGTAGGTAATGAACATGGACAGGTCTGGATACCAAGAATGGAAGCTCTTCACTCCCACCCCCACCCCCTCATATTCTCTCTCTCTTTTGCTCTCTTACTGTGTAAGGGAGTGTCCTGCTGTAGAGCTCAGGCTGGCTTCAAATTCATGAGTCTCCTGCCTCGGCTTCTTCTGAGGGCATGGTGACTTGTCCTCTTGACGTGTCTTCCCTTAAGTACAGAGTCTAGTTTTTGCTTATTGTTTTGTCCCTAGCACCCAGCATGGATGAACGAGAATGAATGAATGAATGAATGAATGAATGCATGAATGAGTGTCCTGGAAGTGCCATGGGCTGACTAAGCCACTTTGTCCAGTGTTCACTAGCCCCTGACCTTTGCTAACCTGAGAAGCTGGAGAGAACAGAGCAGCCAATGAGAAAAGCAGTACACCAAACAGAGCAGCCGTGGTCCAGCAACAGGGGGACCTCATGATGACAAGGAAGGCAGCCTGTTGGGCCCACAGCCTCCCTGAATGCTCCATTCTAAACCTCCCAGGAAGGTGACCCTGGCTGCAGGACTCTGGTCAGCCAGGGGGCGTGCCTGTCTAGCCATCTGTTTCCCAGGATACCGTTTCCCGGGCACAGATGGTACCCAGAACTTCCTCACCATGTCAGTCAGCTGTGGAGGACGCCGCATTGCTGAGGCTCAGCCTGGTCTCTTTCGACCCCATTTTCTCCATCGCTCGCCTCGCCTCCACTCCCCTCCATATGGTAGTTTCATTTCAGTGTTTCCCAAAAAGAACTGCTTCATCTGGCTGGCTGCTCAGCATCTCACAGGTGGAAATCCAGAGCATTTGGGGGAGGTTAAAAAGCACTTTCTCACTCTGTCTCCCTGCCCCCCCCTCCCAAGCTGGGGATTGAACCAAGGGCTTTGCATGTTTGACAAACGCTCTACCACTGAACCCCAGGGCCCTTGTCATTGCTTGCTTAGGAGGGGTGTCCGTTTCCGTTACCACCCCGGGCATCCTTGTTTCTCACCTGGAATCCAGGATCAGCCTTGAATCAGGCTGCCTGCTTGTTCTCCTCAAATGCAGCCTTTTCAGCACTCTCCAGGGCATCAACCCGCAGCAGGACAGAAAGACCGGAGAAGAGGAGGGGAAGGAGGCTGGGAGCCTGCAGTTCTGTTGAAGCCTCACAGCAGCTGACAGTTAAGAACTCCGGGATAATTACTGTGAAGGCTGCCTACATAGAGACAATACTCCTTTTTTATAGAGGCATTTCAAATAAGAATGTTGAAATATCAACAAGTCGTACTTCAGGCCTAAGCTGGCCTTTGAGTTTGGCCTTATTCCCTTCCCATATGCAAACTTGCAATTTTCTAGGAATCCCACCAGAAACCCCATTTACAATAAAAGGCACGTCAAGTCCCGCTGTGCAGCCCTTGTGACCATGGTTTCTTAACAGATGGTCCTCTCCAAGTCACCTCTGGAGCAGCCCTATAATCATCTCATGTATTAGAAGAGAAGGAAACAGGGGTTTTCTTAGTAGTTGGGAGCTACCTGAATAGTATTTACGGTTACTGAAAAGTGTGTGAGTCTACCTTGAGAAGGCCACACTTGCACCCCCTCTAACACCCCTCTTTTTATCAACCCTAGACATAAACCTTTGTTGAAATATCTTCCTAATAAAATCCAGCTCCGTTTCATACCAGCTCATCCTGAAATTCTTTTCTGGGGCAAAGAATCCCAGTGTGGTGGTTTGAAAGAAAATGGCCCCCAAATTGAGTGGCACTATTAGGAAGGAGGTGTGGCCTTGGAGGAAGTGTGTCACTGTGGGCGCAGGCTTTAAGGTCTCTTTTCTCAAGCTTCACTCAGTGTGACAGTCAGTTGACTTCCTGTTGCCTGCAAGCCAAGATGTAAGGACTCTGCTCCTGCATGAGGATGTCCGCCTGCACGCCACCACGCTCCCTGCCATGATGATAATGGACTGAGCCTCTGAAACTGCAAGCCAGCCACCCGCTTAGATGTTTTCTTTATAGGTTGCTGTGGTCATGGTGATTCCACACAGCAATAAAAACCTTAGCTAAGACGCCCAGCTTTGCCTGAAGAAGCCTCTGGAAAGCATTCCTCGGGCTGCTAAGTTAGCATCGTGGGCCGTGTCTTGATCCATGCCCACACAGCCATGGACAAACCTGGTTTTGTGTTACCCTCCAAACCTGGTCTCACCTGCCCAGGCTTCTTTATCTTAGTAAATTACAGCCCCAACCAGAAATGTGGAACACTTCCCTGCTGCCTCTCCTTCTCAGCCTCAGCCTCATCCTCAACTGTCTAAATGCATGAGCACACACCCTGATGGTCCTATCTCTTAATACACTCCACTCAATCCATTCTTCTTTATCTATATACCCGTGTTGTCACAGCACAGATCATCCCTCAGCCTCTGCCTCCCAATATCCTGTTGCTCCCCATCACCTCACTCCCCTGCCTCTGTCGGTTCCAGGGTCCCTTTGTATATTTCTAATCCCAGAGTCTTTGTGTGCCCTATGCCCACCGCCATATCTGCACCTGGACAGTCTTTCCCTGCTCTTCAAAAGAGTGGCTCCTTTTCATTTTTCAGGGCTCATCTAGAGGGCCATTTCCTCCGAGAAACTCCAAAGCAACGCTGTCTGAAGACAGTTCCTCTCTATATTTCCAGGCCCTGTTCCGCGCCCCACCCCCCGCCATCTAAAATAAAGTTCTACTAATTCAATGAGTTTACGTGTATTCTAAGCTATTTTCCATGCTCATTGTATGCCTTCTCATTGGATGTTCCATGTGGCTGAGAAGCTTGATTTGTTCACAGTACGTCCACAAAGCCAAGCCCAGAAAACATTCTAACAAACAGTCGTTACATGCAGGTAATGAATGTGTGACAGGAAGGTCCCTTGTGTCATCATGTCACTGCCCTGTTTTTCCCAGCCAGTGGCTCCCCTTTATCTAATCCACAGGACCCCCCTCAGCGTTTCTTCATGACCTCACCTGAGTTCATCTTGTGCTCTCCTTACTGTGTGAGTTTGAAATCAGTCAAGAGCAGAAAGCTTACATGAGCATCGGTACCATGATGCAGGCCAGGGCTGTGGCCAGCGGGTGAGCAAAAGGGATGTGGGACAGGTATTTTTTTTTTTTTTTTTTTATGAACCCAGGCAATGCCTCCATTCTGTGACATCTGAGTTTTTATAAAACCGTAAGAGAAGCTGAACACTGGACCGAAGCGGTGAGAGAGAACCTCCAGAACAGAAGCAGCTGCTCTCAGAGTCTTGGTATCTGAGATGCCATCTTAGACAGTCTATATGAAGATATTCAGGAGAAAAGTGCTCAGGGAGTAGGGGTGGGGCACGTAGTGGCCGCGAGGCTTAGTCTTGGTGGTCAACTTGATGACATTTAGAATCTTGATAGAAACAAATCCCTGGGCATGTCTGCGAGGGAGGTTCTGGATTGGGTTGATTGACTTAGGAAGACCCACCTTAAATGTGGGTGACACCCACTGTTCCACGGGCTGGACTCCTGGAGTGAATAAAAAGGAAAAGCAAGCTGAGCAACAGCATTCGTTTCTCTCTGCTTCCTGACCGCAGCTGCAATGGGCCCAGACACCTTGCATTTCTGCCAACATGACTTCCCCACCAAGGTGGACTGTGTCTCCCTGAACTGTGAGTCAGGATAATCCTTCCCTCCCCTACATTGCTTCTTTTCAGGCAGTTGGTCACAGCAAGGAGAAAAGGAACTAAAACCACTGGTTTAGTTCACTTTCCCATCATCAGGAAGCTAAGCCTTAGGGGCCATACAGCTAGCCCCGAGTCCTCATCTAGGAGACAAATGAAGGCACTAGAAGTCACAGTGTGAGAAAAGATCTTCTGCAGATGATGAACATGTCAACATCACTGGGAAGATGCCCCAGAGGAGTGTGGTAATTAGAAACCATGGGCACCAGGCTGCGTTCCTGATAAGACCAGACCAATCAAAAGCCAAGGGGAACTAGAGAAGGATCTGGGACCTCTGGCTTTGTGTCTCTGGTGAGACTAAAAGAGGAAAATGAAGAAGAAAGCTCCTAATGCCAAAGGCCATCGCATAGATTCATGATATTCCAGCAGAGGCAAGGCTGGGATCCTCACTCACAGGAAATGCTGATTGTTGTGAGGGCAGTCCTTTGGCTCATGTGGGAGCATGAGGGTTGTTTCTCCAACTAGGTTTTATGTAACTCTTCCTGGGGAAACATGAACAGTTGCCTATTCACTTCACATAGAGCACCAACAACAAACCAAAGAAATGACTTAACCTAACTTCTGCTGGTAAACCCCAGGATTTATGGGGGTTACTTACAGGACCATGGGTGACTCTAAGCCTGCCTCAGGGAGTCTCTCTTTCCAGCGATCATTGCTATCTGTCTAACTGTGGCAATGATCTTGTGAGTTTTGCAAGTTTTGGGAGCTTCCTGGACCTTGTAATTTGCATTTATTTGGATGTATACACACATTTCCTTTATTTCTTGAGTCTTATGATCCTCTCACATGCCTCCAGGAGAGGATGTTTCAAACGAGGCTGTAGCTCCAGAACACCAGGGGATTCACTGCGGGTTCCCTGCCCTGTCTGCATGTTGGCTCTGCCACTTTTCCCTCTGGACTCTGCTGCAGGTGCATGGGCACCCCCAGACCAAGGGCTGATGTCCCATGGATGGCCTTCCCCAGAGCAGGGGCTTCCAGGGCCCAAGGCATGCCACAGCTGAGAACTGGAGCCCCAGAGCATGCATATCCTGGCCTTGTACCCCTTCCCAAACTCTCCAAGCGGTATACTTGCCAGCCAGAAGGCCAGCCATTGGCTGCTCAGACTGGAGGCCAGTGACCCCCACCTCCCATTGGTGAGACCCAAGATGAAGGGAAATGGCTTAGGGTGGGAGTGGTCTTTGTTGTTGTTGGATAGTACATGTCTGGGTGTGATCTCTCTTCTTCCCACACAGTCCCATTGAGTAGCAGCATCGGTCAAGTTTCCTTTGTGGTTGTCACTGAAGAGTTATAGTGTGTGTGTGGTGTGGTGGTGGTGGGGGGCGGTGTTTCTCTCCTCTGTTATCACAATGTGACCCCAAGAAGCCCAGTTCTTTTTGGTCTACTGTGCACTGCTGTGGGATGTTCTGTATGGCAAATGTGTTGCTGATTAGTCATTAAATAAAACACTGATTGGCCATTGGCTAGGCAGGAAGTGTAGGCGGGACAAGGAGGAGAATAGAGCTGGGAAGTGGAAGGCTGAGTCAGAGGGACACTGCCAGCCGCCATGATGAGAAACAGCATGTGAAGATGCGGGTAAGCCACGAGCCACGTGGCAAGGTATAGATTAATGGAAATGGATTAATTTAAGCTGTAAGAACAGTTAGCAAGAAGCCTGCCACGGCCATACAGTTTGAAACCAATATAAGTCTCTGTGTTTCCTTGGTCGGGTCTGAGCGGCTGTGGGACTGGCGGGTGACAGAGATTTGCCCTGACTGTGGGCCAGGCAGGAGAACTCCAGCTACAGTGCACCTCTGATCACTGTCTCTCTCACTCTGACTCTCCAAGTCCTCTAGACCTCCTCACTTAAATGGCCCGCTGACTTCTATCTGAATTCGGAAGCCAAGTGGTCACGTTAAACCATCAGATGGTCTCACTCCTGAACTCATGCCCTGCCGTAGGGCTAACTGGACACCTATCCCATCCTCTGAGCCTGGGGAGGATTCACTTTACCAGAGCCACCCAGAGTTCCCTGCAGTTCTCAGTCACACAAAACCCTTCTTCTGCACCCTGCTCCCAGTACCACAGGTTGGAGCTCAGGTTTCAACCTAAGCAATGAGCCTCTCATGTATCACACTTTCCAACATGATTGGCTTGGTGTCTGCTGAACCAAGAGAGCCTTTGAGAAGGCAAGCTCCTGGGGAACACAGGGACAGTGGATCATTTTCTGTGTGGTATCCCCACCTTCCAGAACTCAATCTCCTTCTCATTAGAGTTCCATGGTGTAGGGGGAATGGAGGTCTTCGTGCTCACAGACATGCACTAGGGGAACCTGGAGTGGTAAGCACACAGGGTTGTTCCCTCAAGAGAAGGAATGCAAGACCTGCTCTCTGCCCAGAAGGCTGGAGCAGCTGTGCTTTCTAGTCTGGTGACCTTCGCACTATCTGTGTGGCCAGAGATTTTTTGGCTCAAGACCCTTCCCCAGACACTTATCACAGATTTGTTTTTCTCACTCAACCTATAAGCTTTACAAAGAGTTTTTATGTAGTCACATCTGATCTGTGTTTAGCTTACTTTGTTCTTCAGAGATTTATGTATTTTTTATTGTGTATGCAGGATCGAGTTTTCACCAAATTGTGCTGTGCTTAAATAACCCTAAAATAAACCACTTGGGGTCAGACTCCCGAAGTTTGAAACACTAGCAACCGAGTCAAATCGAGCCAAACTGCCTTCTTGCCTGTCATGGTGGCTCGTCACTCTGCTGGCCATGAAGGTTGCAGAGACCCCTGTGCCATGGGAGCAGTGTTTATGCTATACCCTGAATCTGTTCAACCAGAACCTTTCCTGGGCAAAAAGTCCAGCAGCCCTTAGCTTCTGTTTTCTGTAATTTACCTAAGATTCACAAATTAGGGTGCTAAGAATCCTCCAGCTGACTGATGCTTTGAATTTGATGCTAAACTCTTTGATTTCTTCTACCTGCCTGCTGCCCCATCTCATTTCATCTGCTCCCGTCCACAGGGACAGAACCCTGGACTCCAGTACCAACTCCATTGCCCCATCAATGGAAGGCAATCCACTCAGGCACCCAAGCTTCTCTTCAACAAAGGAAATTAGGAAATGGCGGTAAAAATTACAAACTTGGAGAGAGCCAGAAAACAGCTCGTTCCAGTCATAGAAGAAGTCAGATAAATAACATGTACCAGGTGAGGTTGAAGGTGCGCGAGCCTGGCCCATCAGCTCGCAGCATCATACATATGCTTCTTCAAGCTTTGTGTCCATCACTCTAAACCAACCTCAGGTGTCTGGGGAAAGCACTAGAAAGTTGTTTTAACATCAGCTTTACCTTGCACTTGTCAAAGGGTCACAGATAAAGGTCTGAGCTGGTCATGCATCTCTTCATTTCCTTGTCCCTTTGTATCATCCTTGATCCCCATCTCTGGGTAGTTATAATAGCTAATATTTATGTGCATTCGTTGCAAGCCAGACATGGTTCTGAGCCTTTCATATAGTTAGAGTATATAATTCATACAACAGCTCCATGAAATAGGAATTGTTATTCATATTTATAACAAAGAAGAAAACAGGTCTGGAAAGTAACTTTGTCCAAGGTCACACAACTAATAAAGAGAGCTGAGAGTTGCTCCCAGGCAATCTTGTTCCAGAATCTGTGGTCTTAACCCCTCCACGTTGTGTACCTCAAGCTAGATAATGGCGGTGAATACGCCATGGGAAATGCAAGCTCCTAGAAGTTCTCTTGTCTCTGTTTATATACTTCCTCCCTAGAGGTATAGAGTACCAGGACGGGGTCCCTTCCTCCTGGCAGTCAAGTGTCCAGTCCACAGCTTTCCAGAACAAAGGACACTTATGTGTCTTCGTAGAATGCCTGTGGAAAAGTAAAGTGGTGGAGGAGCCGGGGTTCTGGGTGAGAGGTTACAGATCATTTTGTTTCTATTACAAATAGCAAATGTTTGCCAAGTTCCAATCATGTGTCAGGCATGGTTTGGAGTATTTCAGATATTGGCAGGAGTAATTATGCTAGCCAGCCTCACAGATCCTCACCCCTGCAATTCTTACCTTGTCTGGTTGCCCCCCATGCTGAGCAGAGCTGACCTGTGTGACCAAGAGATTCTGCAGAACCATGTGTGAATCAATCACCACCTTCTCCTTGGCCTTTTGGGTGTTTTTTTTTTTTTTTTGGAAAGAAGCCAGCCACCGCACAGTGAGGACATTCATACAGTCCTGTGGGGAGGCCTTTGACCAACAGCCATGTGAGCCAGGCCCCTGGGAAGTAGGTCTTCCATCCCAACTTGAGTCTTGAGGTAACTTGAGGTAACCCAGCACCAGTCAACATGTGACACACGAGAGACAGCTTGACCCAGAACTGCCCCCAGGGGTAATCTCTGAATTCCTGACCCATACAAACTTCAAGAGATACCGAATGATTATTGTTATTATGTGCCACTAAGTTTATTACAACTATGCTGTCCTAACTCAATCATCACAACAACTGTATAAAATACGTTTTCTTACGTGCTAAAGATGAAGCAGCTTTTGAATTACTAAAGTGACTCAGCCAGGAGGGGATAGAATCTCCTCTAGCTGAGGAGATTCCACCCCAGAGCCTTCCCTCTTGGAGGTCATGCGACAATGTCTCTGCTGAGAGTGGTTTTCGGGTGGATGGAGCAGTTCATATTGCAGGGTCCCCCAAACTTGGTCAATCCTTAGAATGGCTCTATTAAAGGTGTATCATCTCCAGCACCCTTCCTAAATTTTTTGTCCTGCTGGGTCTAGAACAAGGTCTTCAGGTGACTCCCCACATACGTTTTAGGGTTCGCTGATCTTCTTGGAACTCCTCCTTACCAACCACGGCCACCTCATTTCTCTGAGCAGAGGAAATTAGAAAATATTGCGGTAACCAAGGATCTCATGGTGTGATCCCGCAGATTTATTTCCCTTATCCAGAGACCCACTGAGCTGTCTTCCTGCATCTGAACAGCATCACCTGGACCACAGGGCTGTCATAATCACTATTGCAAGGCAAGGGGAGAAGGAACGCACGTGTTCGTAAGGGCCACACCTAAGGTAGCATCTTCCACGCCCACCACATTCACTAGCCATATCCACTGTAATGATAGAACTGCAAGGGAGGCTGCAAATGCGAAGACCAAATGAATACCAGGGGAACCTCAGAAATGTCTGCCACGTCCATCATTGGATTATAATGATTACTTATCTATTTATCCATTTACTTATGCTCAGGACTGAACCCAGGGCTGTAGCTTATGAGGCAGTTCGCATCACTGAGGTACATCCCAGCCTCAGTGTTCATCTTGATTCTCAGCTAGATGAAAATTATGTGAGGTCAAGGCAATCCTTTAATTTGTTCCAGGGTAATTCCATCCTTTAATTGGTTTTCCGGATCACTTAGTCTTTGCTGAATACATTCCTCTAGTAACATCGTCACGCTACGGAAGTGAGCGGGGGTACGGTGACGGTCTGACAGAGTTGAGCATACCTTGGTCCCCACACTCAGCAATGTGGGAATGAGTCTCAGTTACATTGTAGACTAGAAACGGCTGTGACTGCCTTTGAAGGAACGTAGAAACATGGATCACCATGGTCACAGAGAAAAGGCTCAAAAGCAAGAGCTGTTACCTGGTATCATGTCTTTCGGCATTGTGAATTCTGAAAAAGAAAAGTGTTACAGACGTGAATGCTGTTATAATCTACTTAACCAAGGCTGTGAGAAAGATGAACTTGCAGGGCCACGTGAGACCCTTGAGAGGATATGCAAATATTTTGTGTAGGCCTAAATACATAGGGACCTTCCTACTCACCTTTTCTAATTTGTTTACAAAGGCAGGCACTCGGACTGGCTTTAGCTCAGCAGTTACTTCGACAATGCATCAGTTCGCTACTTTGCCACTCGTGGTTGAGTTCGAGCACCATCAACAAAGGCAGGCACTTGAAGTTCTCATGGTGAGATGCTTAGCCATTAAGGACTCCAAGTGCTAACATGTACTGGGGCTTCCTGTGTTCCAGGCAGGGCTTCACATGTGTATGCGTGCTTACTTCATTTCACTCTCGCGAAAACCCCATGAACAGCTACTATTTTCATCTGTTTTACAGGCGAGGAAGCTGGTTCTTGGAGAGGTCAAGTTGCCCAAGGTCCCGCTGCCCATAAGAAGCTGAACTGTTCTTCTCTCCAGAGTCCAAACCAGCCACCACCAGAGTCACAGTCACCTGGGGATATTAGAAATGCAGATTCCTGCTTCCCACTCCCACCCCTTAGACTTGCTGAGGCAAGTGTGTGGTGTGTATTTGTGTTTATATGTATGTGTGCATGTTCATGTCAGTGCAGGTATATGCACAGGTATGTCTGCCTGAGTGTGGAGACCAGAAGTCAGCCTTGGGTGCTGTTCCTCAGGTACCACTAACCGTTTTCCTTCCAGAGATGGAGTCTTTCATTGGCCTGAGATTCGCCTAGGTAGCTAGGCTGGCCGGCCAACAAGGCTTAGGATCCACCCACTTTTGCCTCCCCCGGTGCTAGAATTACAAGCACGCCCCCTTAAAACAAACAAACAAACAAACAAACAAACAAACAAACAAAAACAAACGTGTTCTGGGGATTGAACTCAGGACCTTGTGCGTGCACTTTAGGGAATGAGCTCTCTCTCCTGCCCAAGACTCTGTTTTTTTAATAGCTCTCCAGGTGTTCTCCAGCTGTGGAGAAACTGGGAGGAGTTTACACTCTGCCATCCTTAGCTCCTCGGCCCCACCAGCAATCCTCCTGGCTCTTAGTGTAGCCAGTCTTACTAAATGTGCAAACGGACACTTGCCTACGGCCAGCTTTTGTTCAAAGCCTTTTCTGCCTCTCAACATCAGAGCGCATCGGAAGGAAAACACCTACCCAAAATGATTTAGAAATGTTTTCTATGCCTTGTTGGAGTTCCCTGCATCCTGAGCTCTCCTCAAACTGGACAGATCAGTCGTCGGAACAGATGATCGGACAAAACTGAGCCAAGCTCCAACTCTGTACCTGTGGAGGTGAAAAGCAGAGGATGGCTGATTGTAACCTGGGGATGCTATTTTGTTCCTTGCCAAAACCTCTGCACCTCAAACTCGTGTGCCGCCAACAGATTGAGACCTGGACTCTCCGGGTCCTCTGCCTCAGCTGGTTTTTGCCTTGCCCCGACCCACTTTCTGTGTTCCCCCTGATATCCAGATGGCAGCAGCAGACACTGCAGTAAGGGCGGCTCCAGGCAGCAGCTCCCAGGCCAGCTGCATATTTGATTAACAAGAAAGCTGGGCAGATGCATCCTATCACAGAGGCAGTGAGAAAGCACCCACCAAATGCCAGCCTGTTTCAGCACTTCCCAGCCCGGGGAAAATTTTCATGTTGTCCTGATGCCTGCCTGGTAAATGATCCCGTAATGACAGCCGTGGTGACTGAACACTGGCTATGGGTCAGGTATCCTGAGTTGTAAAACCCTTCGGTGGGGATAGTGTATGTTGCCTAATTCACACGTAAGTAGTCTGAGGCCTAGAGCCGTGGAGTAACTTATCCAAGGTGACAGAGGTGAGGAGCAGAGAAGACAGGCCCTCTCTACATATTCAGCCACCCATTTTACTAGTGAAAATCAGAATGGTAACGTTGAATTTGGGCCAAGGCTGGTCAGCAGAGGCTTTTATGCAGTTAGAATTTACCTTCTAAGCCCCCTAAAAACATCCAAACAAAGGCTGCTAATGGTTCACAGCCGTTTATGGAGCAGACGTACCTTGTGGTATTTTTCTGTCACGAATTCTTTTTACTAATTTACAGTTTTAAGCATATTGCACTAAAAATCCTGGGGAGATGGCTTGGTTAGTACAGCGCTTGGCACACGAGCATGAAAATACTTAAAAGCCAAGTACGGCTTTGTGTCCGTAACTTCCAAGTCTGGGAGGGGACAGGGCAGGGACAGGCAAGTCTCTGGAGCTCATTAGGTAGCCAGTTTTCCCCAGTCAGTGAGCCCTAGGTTGAGTGAGAGAACCTGTCTCAAAAACAAGGTGGAGACCAACTAAGAAGGACCCCAGCACTGCTCTGTTTGTTTGTTTGTTTGGTTTTCGAGACAGGGTTTCTCTGTGTAGTTTTGGTGCCTGTTCTGGATCTCACTGTAGACCAGGCTGGCCTCGAACTCACAGAGATCCGCCTGGCTCTGCGTCCCGAGTGCTAGGATTAAAGGTGTGCACCACCACCGCCTGGCACCAACACTGATCTTAGGTCTCTGCGTGCACATGTACACATCCACATCTTTACCTGCACACACATGCATTCACATCTGCATGTACACACACACACACACACACACACACACACACACACACACACACACACACACACGAGAGCATGTACTTATATCATATGCAAATGCATGTGTGCATATCATTAGAATATTAATTATGTTGATTATTGAACTTCCTCATGCTCTCCTCGATTTGTGCTAGACAAGACTTGCTAGATCTTGCTGAACCATACAAGGTGGACACAGAGCAAGCAAATTATTACACATACGTAGATGGGGACACTGAGACTGAAAGGCGTATCAGGTTATATACCCAAGCTCACACCACAAGTGTCTGGGGCCAGATTCCACCCGACCTTCTCAGACCCCCAGGCCCCAGAGCAACTATTCTTTTCTCCTCACAAAGCCTCGTTAGAACCTTTCTCCAGAGTCACTGTATCCTGTAATGTAAAGGAGGACTGTGGTTCCAGGTAGACAGCTTGCTCTCTGGACTGTCACACCAGATATTTCCTGGAACTCTCCTGCTCTTAACCTACACGGCAGAATCTGTGGTGTGCAGAGCATGCTGGCTGAGCTCTGGCCTGCAACAGCCAGGGGAAGGGAAGGAGAGGGCGTCTCAACACAGCACTCTGAGGCCTGAGGGAGAAGCTGTTCTGCCCTCTCTGAGGTTGCACTGAAGGTGTCCAGGTAGCTCTCAACCCCCTCTACCCCCTCTCCCTCCCTCTCTCTTCTGCCCCTCCCTCACACACAGAGCAGCAGCTGCAGCCTGTGAGAGAAGACAAACACCAGCTCTTTGTCTCTTTTGTCATAGGTTTCCCAGTTACCCTCTGTAAAGCCACATAATTTGTTGGATGGAAAGGGTGTAGACATTCTGTGAGCTGATTTGTTTTTCTTCTGTTTGGGGCCTCAGCTGGGTGTTTAATGTTTCCTAGGATACCACAGGCTGTGGGGAGACTGGAAAGAGGCCTAGCTTCTGGCCCATCCCTTACTGGGTTCCATGTCTTGGCTCTGGCTGAGGGTCAGAGGAGTCCAGGGCTCTCTGCAGGGGACAGTTTTATTCAAGGCAGGAGCTTGGAGTGTCTTAAAAACAGCAGATGATTGCTAGAGCACTGGCAGCTTAGGATTGCTTCAGAGACTCAAACACAGGATCTGGTAGCCACCTTTGTCCAAAGTATAAGCCGTTCTCCAAGGATGATGGAGGATTTCATCCCCAGCACATGGCATCTTTTGATCTGATGACCTGGGGTCTCTTTCAGGAGGCTTGGTCACCTTCTCCAAGGATGATGACACCTCAGCTCCAGATATATTGGCATTACAAGGCTCTAGAGGTCCAGTAGTTGGTGGACTTCTGTCTCCACCTTGAGTACAGGCTCAAGCTGGGAGGTCTTTCATGGACATCGTATCAAACTTCCCATTGCTTCTCACCCTTGAAACACAAAGTCTGAAGGATGTGTTGGTTCTGCTGATATAATGGTCAACCCAGGAGGACCGGCCTGAATATTTAAGAAAACAGTTGAAATAACATTGAGATGAGATGTCATTTGGCTGTGTATAGTCATCTACTGACACATAATAAGTCACCCCAGAAGTGAAAAGAGACATATATTTATGATCTCATGGTTAGTGTCAATGGGGAATCCAGACACAGTTTAGCCAGAACTTCTGTCTCAGATATCTCAACAGCTGAAACCAAGGTGGCAGCCTCATCTGAAGACTTCATTGGAAAATTTCCAAAGTCATGTGACATTTAGTCAGATTCCATTTCCAACTGTTGTTGGAACAGATTGCCCACAGCTCCTTGCTAGATAGTCCTGTCCTTCAGACAAATATAATTCAAGAAGAGAGAGAAAATACCAGCCACTCAAAGGTCATGGTCTTTTAACTTAATTATGAAGAGATAAACCAACATGTTTGTCATATTCTACTGAATCATGAGTCCATCCTACATCCAAGGAGAAGGACATGCACAATGGCATGCATATTAGGAGCTGGGAATCACCAATGGGTCATGTCAGCCTCTACCTACTGTAACCTGTTAGGAGTGAGCAGACCACATCTAAAAACTGTAGTCCATCTTTTGGGGGAACCCCCAAACACTTGCAGTGTTTATCCTTGGGTAGCCCTGCTAGACAGTTCATGACATTGGCCATAATGAGTTGGACTATGGTGGAATGACTGAACAAAAAGGAAGCTGATGGCTTTGCCCTAACAGGTCTCATTCCTTGGAATGCTTTAGTGATGAGTTCAGAGAAAGACATGGAACATTTGTTTGTTTAAAAAAAATGTTCATGGCATTGGGTAGATGACATCCACACAGATGACATCCACCGGTATGCTCCTTGTCTTTATGCAGTAGAATAGGAAAAAGTGTTATTCCACACAGAGCAAAGGCAATAGGCGATGGCAAGGAAGGCCATGATCAAGGAAGGCCAGCAGTCACCATAAGAAAGCATTAGTTTTAAGGAAGAGTGTTGTGGGATAATCCTTTGGTACGAGTAAAGACAAATTCAGACAGAAAAAAAAAACCTATAAATGGGTTACAGTATATTTAAATATATATAGGCTTGGAAGAGAGGGGGAAAAGAATATATACAGTCTTAGATTAAAAAATATAGTTTTAAAATAAAGCCCTTAAAAAAGGAATAGAGTGATTAAAAAACACAATAAGCCTCATAAAAATGAAATATACACAGAGAATCTGGATACTGTATGTTATTGTGTTATCTTTAAATTTTTTGGCTCCTAAGAGACACTAAATTATAAAAAACTGATAGATTAAACCAACCTATACATTTTAAAAATACCTTGACTTCAAAATTTAAGTCAAAAGATATTTTACTTTGGGAGTGAGGTTATATATTTATTTCCTCAAGAAATGAGAGGCTATGGATTGATTCTGGGTTAAAGAAAATCAGGTTTATCAAGGAAGACCCCCTGAAATTCTGACTAAAGACATGGAAAAATAAACCTAAAGGAACTACAAGACATGTGATGTATATTTTACCTGCTCAAACACATAACAAAAAATCATCTTTGGCTAACTTTTGTACAATGCAGAGTCTACATTTTATTAATACAGATACGTATGTTACCTTTAAAAGTTTGTGTATTTCAGAGCAAGAGGATCAGACATGAATAAAATGGCCCAGATGATCCAGCATCCACAACAGCTTCAAGGCTGCTGACTGAGATGATCCAACCTCACAAAATACTCCAGCCAAGACTTAGTAATTATCCTGATTTTCTCAGGGTCCCCCAAAGATTGCCAGCACCCCAGTCAACAGGAAGTAGTTTAGAAAACTACGCCCACATTCCCAAAATGTTTGTTTTGGTTATAAATGTTTGTTTTCATTTAAGAAGAATTGGTTACAAATTGTTATTGGTCATAATTTTAAAAAAAAGGCTAAGCCGGGCAGTGGTGGCGCCCGCCTTTAATCCCAGATTAAAGGAGGCAGAGCCAGGCTGATCTCTGTGAGTTCGAGGCCAGCCTGGGCTACCAAGTGAGTTCCAGAAAAGGCGCAAAGCTACACAGAGAAACCCTGTCTCGAAAAACCAATAAATAAATAAATAAATAAATAAATAAATAAATAAATAAATAAAAAAGGCTAAACAAAAGAGTTAAATTCAGAGATCTCTTTCTAAAAGAAGAAAGGGATTATGATATAGAAATGATAGGGGAGAAGGGCAGATTATTGAATCTACTTTAACCCAAAAAATAACTGCTAATCTCAAAATATTTTATATTTGTATGGATTTTAGCTTATTAATACAAATTTAAAGTTAATTTTGTTATACTGTATATATATTTCTACTCTTGTCTAGGGTATTATGTTTATGCAGCTCATTTAAAAATGTAATATATAATTAAGAAATACAAATTAATAGTCATCTGTAATAACAAACTTATGGTCATGTTAGTTAGGTTTTCAAGGTCATACAGAGATATATTTCAGATAGACAGGCAATCTTCAAACACTTCAAAGACCTACAGAATATGGCATTTAAAATGTTTTAAGAACTTAGACTTTTCTCAATAGTGAGACATGTCTGCTCCTGGCAGCACCAATTACTTCAAAGAGGATGATGGGCATCAAAGAAACTCTGTAGGGAGTTTGTTTTCTTTGTGGCAAAAGCTAGTCATGTGGGCAAAGACACTGTCCTTGCCTCAATTGCTGACAGTTACTGTAAAAATGGACCAGCAGGACACAGAAAAGTGACTGCCGACCTTTGCCAAGACAAGGTAGAACAGTCCTTCAAAATTCCCTGCTTCACAGGAAAGTCTGTTAAATATGCTAGGTCTGTAGGTCAGAGTTGGATGCCCTGACATTACAGAAGAACTTTGGGTGACTGTCCAGGCAGCCTGATGTCCTGGTCATTAGGTAACATTTAATTCTTCTAGGGTCTTTGATGGAGTTGAAGACTAGATAGTCATAGTTATAGTTTTTCTTGATATAAAACTTTAAACTCACCAAGATAAGATAGAGTATTTTCTTGAAGTTTGCCAAATATAAATGGATTGGATATTGTTACTGTAATTCTTTCTTAGTGACTATTTTTGTTATATATAATCTTATGATGTTAAAGTTAAAACCTTCCTTTTTAATTAGACAAAAAGGGGGAAATACTACAGATTATGTTCATTGTTAATAATAAAGCTGATTGGCTGATAGCAGGACAGAAAGAGATTGGGCAAGACAACTTGACACAGGGAGAATGCTGGGAGAGAAGGGTGGAGTCAGGACAGTCGAGGGGGATGCCAGCCAGCCACTGAGCAAGCAGGAAGTTTTAAAAAAATGAGGTAACCAACCATGAGCTATGTGGCAAAGCATAAATAAAGATATGGGTTAATTTAAGTGCAAGAGTTAGCTAGTAACAAGCCTGAGCTATCAGCCAAGTTTATAAGTGATATTCGCCTTTGTGTGATAATTTGGAAATGGATCCCGGGATGGGAAGTCTACAGAAGTGAGAGGAAGAGGAAGAATGTAGCTGATATGACAATGTAGAGGGAATAGAGGCAGGAGCATATGTAGGTAGAGTTTTCCTGCCTGGCCCACAGTCAGGACAAATCTACCTACAAATGGCGTCCAACGTGGTGGCAAAAGTTTCCACCTAAAAACCTGAGAAAAGATTCTAAAACGGAGCTAAAAACAGTTCCTAATTGTCTCTCTCAAATGAGCGGCAGCTGCTGGTTTGAGCTACTGGTGGGTTCCTAGCGTGCGTGCTCGACCTGCCTATGGCGGGAATGAGGCCTTTGCAAGTGGCACTTTGAGCTGCATAGTGGATTTAGCCTTTGCTGGTGCAGAGCAAAAGGGGAGGTTTCTGGGCTACACGCTGCTTGGCTAAAAGCATAGACCCCCGATAGCTCCCAGAGCTGGAGGTAAACCATGGCCATGTTGGGAAGCTGAGGTGGGTGGATCCAGCAGCCACAGCTGCTGCAGTTTAAGGCAATAGATTCACAATAAGACAGATTCAGATGTAATAGTTTACAATGTGTGTAAAAGATACGTAGGCTTGAAAGAGACAAAAAAGATGATATATAGAGTTATAGAAATAAATACATAGTTTTAAAAAATAAAGTCTTTAAAGAGACAGTAAAGGTAGTATAAAAAATAAGCCACGTATAAAAAATAAGCCACGTAAAAATGGATATTACACAGAGAATCTGCATTGTGTTGTCTTTGGGACTTTTAACTGCAGAAAAATATTTGATTGTAAAAGCTGTTGAGTTATGCCAAAATGTATATTTTAAAGGTACCTTGACTTCAAAATTTGGATATAAGGATATGTTACTTTGGAAAGGAGACTCTGCTTTTGTTCCCACAGAAAGCCAAAGGCTATGGATTTGTTCCAGATTAAGATACATCAGGTTTGACCAGCCAAGACCCCCTGAAAGGTCTCCGATGACACCATGGCCCAGATGATCCAACATCCAGAATGGTTTGAAGGCAACTGGCTCAGATGATACACCCTCATGGACTTTTCCATAATCCTAAAATTTCCTTTGTATCCCCATAAGATACAGCGCCCCCCTCCAGCAGGAAGTAGTAAGAGAAGCTACGCCCAAATTCCCAAATTATATGTAATTTTACTTTGTTAAGGTTAAAACCTTCCTTTTTTTTTTTAAAAAAAAAAGGGGGGAAGTGCTGTGGGATGTTCTGTATGGCAAATGTGTTGCTGATTAGTCAATAATTAAAACACTGATTGGCCATTGGCTAGGCAGGAAGTGTAGGCGGGACAAGGAGGAGAATAAAGCTGGGAAGTGGAAGGCTGAGTCAGAGAGACACTGCCAGCCGCCAAGATGAGAAACAGCATGTGAAGATGCCGGTGGGCCGCGAGCCATGTGGCAAGGTATAGATTTATAGAGATGGATTGATTTAGGCTGAAAGAGCAGTTGGCAGGAGGCCTGCCATGGCCATACAGTTTGAAACCAATACAAGTCTCTGTGTTTACTTGGTCGGGTCTGACGGCTGTGGGACTGGCGGGTGAGAGAGATTTGCCCTGACTGTGGGCCAGGCAGGAAAACTCTACCTACAAGCATAGCTGAGGGAAGAAGCTCAGGCATAAGGAGAAGTGGGCACTTGTTCACTTAGCACCCAGCTTAACAATCCATTACTGATGCAGACATACTATTGCAGAGATAAGGAGGATTCAGATTGACCTGATTTGAGCCTCTTGGTCACTACTGAAGCAACTGAGCACCTGACCAGCCACCTGTGTCCCCTGTTACACAAGAGGAGTAGGTTCAAGGAACCAGGATCAACTTCATTTCGATTAGTGAAAAGTGGATCTTGACTCCCGTGATGTCACGGGACATTCATTCTCCTAAAGATCCTTCTGCTCGTTGTATGTGTAGGTAATAGGCAATCTTCTCTTTTCTTTTGTTCTTTTCCTTTTTCTTCTTTTTTGGCAGTAGTAGGAATTGAACCTAGGGCCTCATGCATGCTAGGCAAGCACTCTACCACTAAGCTATAGCCCTAGTCCTAAGTAGTCCTCTGAGCAAACAGCACACCTTTTGCTCCCTGGGCCGTTGCCTGACAGGATAAACAGGGTATTTATCTCCATTTCTATCTTGTGTAATTCTGCATAAGGCCACATATTGGAAAGTTCTCAAATTGACAATTTTTCTTATAACTTACTTTTTTCTGTTCCCCTTTTCAGGTCGTAGCACAATGAAAGATAGAGATTGAGTTGCCGTTGACTCCAGCTGAGGGTTCATGGCAGCATCCTGCTCAGATGGTTTCTGGAGTCCCTGCTGATTCATTTTGACTTGGTTTGTAATTCCAAATCTCTGCCCAAGCTCCCTGAGCAGTGGTTCCACCCACCTTTGAGAGTCTGTCTGTCCAGTGCTACATTCAGCAACGTCATGTGCTTACCTGGAAATAGGTCCTGGTGGGAGTATTTACACCACAGAACTTGGCAAATACAGCAGCTCACAGCTTCCCTACCACAGAGCTCCTGGTTAAACATTTACCTGCCTCTAAGGAGAAGCCTCCAGAAATTGCCTTATTAAATATTATTTTCTTGTCCTTTAAAAATTGTGACATCTCTGGGTTATTTAGTTTCTCTGCTTGCCTCTCCCACACCACTGCTTTTAACATTTCCCTCCTCAACGTGACTAATGATTCTGTGAACTGGTTGATATAAATCCAAAAGCTCAGGACAATCGATGTAAGAAAATCCTCAGAATTCTACAGCAAATTCCTGTCTTCCTGAAGTTTACAAAAATCTTCTTATTATACCCCAGTTTAGCTCTGGTTAAGATTCATCTTCTACTGATATGCCTCTACTCTAGTATTTTTTAGCGTGATACATTTTGCAACGTGATCATTCTTTGCCCCTGACAGATTCACTTACAAGGTCATGAGGAAAAGTAGAAGGAACACAGGAAAGCAAATGGATGGTGACGATGGAGTGTAGGACACAGGGGACAGAACTCTGGATGTTAGAGCAGAGGAGTTGAATCTCTCTTGGAGTTAGTATTTTGTGTTTAGTCTCTGGCATATTAATCAAAGAAGCTCAACATTGAACATAGTTTCCCTACACTTTTCTAGACCTATTCTTAAAAGTGCTGATTTCTTACTATTATATGTCAAGATCTTCACTAAGTCATCAGTTGTTTCAAGGATTATGTGTAAGGATTATGTCCTTAATTATGTCACCAGCCTGTGACAGCATCCCAGCCTAAAAAGTGGGCGTGCCCCCTCTCTTTCCACACTCTCTCCTTCCGTATTCCCCCCTCCGCATGGTCTTTCTCTCCCTCCCTCCCTCTCTCTCTCTCTCTCTCTCTCTCTCTCTCTCTCTCACACACACACACACACACACACACACACACACACACACACACACACACAAATAAAGCTCTAGAAGGGTAACTATGGCTTGTGACTCTTCTGTCACCAGTACATCCAGCACTCTCCGTCGGCATGACCGTCACGGCCAGACACGAGCACTGCCGCTTAACCAACATTATGCAGTTCCCTGAAATCCTTAAGTTGAAATCCTAAC